GTACAGCTATCTCCCTTAGTAGTGGCAAGATTCATGTCACATGTGCCAGCAGTGACAGCTTGATGATGCTGCTTATAGATTTCTTCCATAATATATACCACTTAACCTCTCCATCTGATCCATCATCCTTTACTAAGTATGACTGGCTACCTGCCTATGGACATTGGCAGGCTTCATATGCCCATATTTTGTGAGGTGATCAACTGTGTTACTTCAGAAGCCTCAACACATCTGTCTGAACTGATAATACGCATATGTTAATCAGGCGTCAGTATTTGAAGGATTAATTACATGATCTATACTTATAATTGTGTGTTTAACGAAACATTTGTGTCTGAGAGTTAGAGGTAAAGATACAGTGTTTAATATTTATCTATTTATTTATTTTATATATATTTTTATATCTTGCTTAAAAGTGCAGGCACATAAATTACATGAGTAAATGTGGTAATTATGAAACTTATCCAAAAGTTTATGTAGGCATACTCTTGAAAGAGGATGTCACACAATAAATATTTCAGCTGGACACTTTCCTAGTTGTTAACTTTGTAAACTAAAATATGACAAGATGTTAAAATTTAGGGTGGTATTATTTCTTATGGTGCCGGTCACGATAGCCGAGTGGTCTTAGGCATGCACTGTCTTCGCTCACTCAGAAGCCGGGATCGTGGGTTCGAATCCCACTCAGGGCATGGATGTTTGTGTGCGTTTGTGTTTGTGTACAGGTAGAGGTCTTGTGACGAGCTGATCACTCGCCCAAGGAGTCCTACTCTATGTCCAACATCTAGTAAAACCGAAGTGAAACCGAGAGTTTCATGGAGGTAGGCCTAGGCCCACTGGGGCTGTAGTGCCAAGGGGGAAAATAAATTTCTTATGGTAACTTAATGTTTTGTACCAAAGCACAATGGGTAAGCTGCAGTTACTTGTCGAAACAGCCATGCCAAATCCAAATTATGCTCCCTCTATTTATTACAAAGTTATTAAAGCATCAAATGAAGGAATTAGTTCTTTTTCAGGATGTAGGAACATGGATCTCACTAATGAAAGGGTTTGGAGAATTCACCGATTCCTTTTGTCCTATGGACAGCTCTAACCCCTGATCCATGGATCTTGTTAGTCTGGAGCTCCTGTGTATCACCATACATTAAAATGGTAATAAAAGTATCCCCATTTCATAATACTCAGGGCATTATACCATTTTTGGTGCTGCAGATAAAGTTTATACATGTTTAGTGTGTACATAATTAACTAATCTAACACATGTTTTCAAAAGACAAATTGGTACTTATGGCCAAATACAAAATTAAACTCAATCTAATCTAGATACCATTATGCTTCTACTAACATAGAGAGTTAAAATTAAAACTGAATAATTGTTGTAGATTAGAAATATTGCATTGTAGTGTCATATTATTTGTGAATAATTTATTATTTATTTCAGTCATAATCATTTAATGTAATTATACACATAAATTTTGGTGACTGAAATAGATAATAAATTGCAGTAGATGTTGAAGAGAATGTGCATTTCTTTCAGATGGAGTAACATAATGCCCGGAATTCGCCATGACCAAGATGTCTTGGATCGTACAGGTTGGGATAAGCTCCCACATGATGCCTTGCGACTGAACGTATTGATGTTTGGTTTTGACTCCTTGTCACGTAACATGTTTATTCGTCATCTACCACGCACGTACCATTACCTCCATGAGACTCTTCAAATGATTGACTTGCGTGGCTACAACATTGTTGGGGATGGAACTCCACAAGCCCTCATACCAATTCTCACAGGTGTGCCTTAAGCCATGGAAAAGAAAGTAGCAGGTGTCTAGGTTGCATGATTCTTGAAGCTTTCATTTCCAGAAAATAGGATGCATTTAATAGTTTGTTAAAACAGAAAGGAGACTTGTCATTTTAAGCCTTAGGAATTTTTTAGTTTTAATTGGAATATACTGTAAAGTGTTCCTTGAACAAGAACTACCGATGCTTGAACATCCAAATTTCTAGTTTTCACCTCAATCTTAGCATTGAATTCTGAATTTGAACTTTTAGCTAACCACACACTTTTCAGTACCCTCTTTTGATCCTGAATAAGGGTTATTTCATTGCATATCTAAAATATGGTTTGTTTCATGCTGTTGCTGCTAGCAAGATGCAGAAAATCGTTTAGATTTTAAGGAGTGTTTCTTAAATATAGCTCATTATATAAAAAAGAATGTCTTATTGAACTTACAAACTTTTGTGAAGAAGTTTTGATTTGATGAATATTAAACAAGGAATTATTAGAAATACTGACCTGAAATTACTCACTCACATAGGTCAGTGTGGTTTAAATGTGTTATTTTGATTTTGAATTTTATTAAGATTTCCTAGTATAAAGTGGATTATCTGTTCCATGTAACAAGAAGTTTTCACAATACTGAAATGGAGTTTTTTGTGAGGTGGTTGTCCATATTTTTGCCATGTCTCAAAGTTAAAAGTCACCAAATTATTGTAAGAACAGAAGAAATAAATGCAATACATTTTTTTTTGACCAAGTTGGAACTTTTACAGTTCCAGTAAAGAATCTACATTCCTTCAGGATCCTATTAACAAGCTGCATTTGCCTATCAGTTCATTCCCAGGTTCAGTTACAGATGTCAGTAGTGCAGACTTATTCATCAGGTTTTATGTTACTCAATATGAATTACATGGTATTGGGGGCCGTGCTGTCTCGGTACTTTCTTAATGTCTTGCCAGCACTAGCACCCACATGGTGGCCATTAAAACTTGCAGAGTGGAGGCACCACAAACACCATTCACATATGGCCTTGAACATTTGTATGGTGAGAGATCTTTTGAAATAAGTAGTTTTTATAAGTTATTATTTTTGTAATGAAATGAAAACATAGCGTAACAGTGCAGACTGCAGATTCTTTGGGTCTGATATTTTATTGAAACTTCATATGTAAAATTTGTGTGATTACATGTTGTGAACCCAATGGATCATTCGTGTTTATGTTCGTTATGCCGCGTGTTTGTCCCTGTAATGTTTTGTAATAGGAATGGAAGTTCAAAATCTAAGATATGAACTGTAGAGAGAAATTCTAACACTTCAGACTTATGGTGCTTAATTCTTCAGGGCACTACGCTGATCAAATAGCAGGTGCTTTAGATGCATATGTCATATATACTGATGGACCATGTGACAGTCCACGCATATCTTTGGAGTTTAAACACAGATGAAACTCAAAAGAAGTTCATGAGCAGATTGAAACATCTGTGTGTCTGTTTGTTTGTTTGCATGCTAAATGTGCTCATGGAGGGAGGGAAGGTATGAGTATAATTGTCAACAGATATGGAATATTATTTTAATTACATGGACAGCCCTTATTTTGAAGGTGGATTGAATAAAAAATGTCTTAGGTTTGTAGAAATATATTATTTATACATACTGATATACTCTTCTCTGCGTATAATTAGAATGATCAAGTAACGGATGATGAGGTGGGCAGGGCATGTAGTACAAATGGGGGAGGAGAAGAATGCATATAGGATTTGCAGCTGGGTCCACTTGGCACGTCGGTCTCTGAATGGCCTATTGTACCTGCCCCTTGTGATTATGATGATAGAGAATATGGCAGAATGAAGATTGGCAGGGGAAACCGAAGTACTCAGAGAAAACCTGCCCCAGCGCCACTTTGTCCACCACAAACCCACTTGACCAGACCCGAATTCGAACCTGGGCCACCGTGGCAGGAAGCCAGTGACTAATCGCTTGGGCTGTGGCCCAGCCTTGTATATAGGATATTGGTGGAAAAGCCAGATGGAAAGAGACAAATGGGAAGTGGGTGGAAAATGTTAAAATGGTTCTTAGAGAGATAGGATGGAATAGTATGGATTTGATTGGTTTGGCTCAGGATAGTTACCAGTGGAGGGCTCCTGTGAACACGGTAATGAACCATCGGATTCCGTAAGATGCTGCTAAGTTCTTGAGTAGTTGCGCAATTGGCGGCTTCTCAAGAAGGGCTCAGTTCCGTGAGTTAGTGAATGATATAATTTGTGGCATTTATTCATATTTTTTCCAACGTTTTCATTACAGCAGTTTGGTTTTGATGTGTCCATCTCCACAATCTGCTGATGTCCATTGCATTGGCATTTCTTTCTCTTACACTGGCTCTGTGAATGTAATGTTACACATAATTTTTAAGTCTGGGGATTAGAAATTAGTCATTTTCTGTCATCAGGCTTAATTACTTGTTATTGTAGTTAGTATTGTATGATTTGCATTTCAGGGAAGACTGAACTTGAACTTCCAGAAACAAGAAAGCGAATGGGAGAAAAGGCTTCATTTGTTAACATATATCCCTTTATATGGAAGAAATATCAGGAGAATGGATATGTGACAGGTAATTTCCCTGTTTCATTTGGTTTTAGGCTTTATTAACCTGTTCCTAGCATTTTATAATGAAAGATCAGTTTATAGTATAATTATATTCTTACTCATGTGTATTATGCCCATTTTTGTGATTTGTTTTTGTTTGCTATAATGAGTCTTCAGCTTGGTTGCTGATTCTTATGAAATTCTATACAGATATTGTGCCATTTGAGTGAGGTAGAAGTTTTTCTGTGTTTGTAAATATAATATGAACTTTTTTCCCCACATGTAACTGTTTGTGTACCTATACATAGGTAGTGTGAAAGTTAAAATTTGAACAAGCAGCAAAGTAATGCGCAGAATGTTGCAGACATGTTGAAATTATTAGATTTTAATGATAAATTAAAACAGAGTGTTTTCAGACATGTTTATATGAAGAATCCTTTACAACTCAGAACATCTCATGTTTTTTCAGGTTATTAGATGCCAGCACAAAAGCTCATGTCCATATGTTTTATTGTTTACCTCTTGTAGTTCCTCACAGAATCTGTCATTTAATATTTTTCATTATTTTGGGGCATTAAAGTTAAGTTATTAAGTTTTTGTTGATTTATATTCTTTGGTAATTCTGTTGTTGCAGTGCTTTGACAGTTAGCCATTATCTCTGTGCAATGGCTACAGATGTATATGAAATTTCGCATGGTTTTTTATGAGAAATGTATCCATGTTAAATATCATGTAAGTTCTCATTTTACTGTGTCATTATTTTAAAGATTCATACTGACCAACTAACTCCATGGATCTGAGCACATCTTGAGAAACTGGCAATTGTGCAGCTACTCAAGAGCTTCCCAGAATTTTATGGAACCCGAAGGGTCATTACCATGCTCACAAGAGCCCTCCATTGGCCCCTATCCTGAGCCAGATCAATCCAATCCATACCATCCCATCCAATCTCTCTAAGATCCATTTTAATATTATCCACCCACCTATGTTTTAGTCTTCCTAGTGGTCTCTTTCCTTTCTGCTTTCCTACCAATATCCTATATGCAGTCCGCCCTCATTTGTGCTACATTCCCTGCCCATCACATCCTCCTTGACTTGATCATTCTAATTATACTTGGTGAAGAGTACAAATTATGAAGCTCCTCATTATGTAGTTTTCTCCAGTCTCCTGTCACTTAATCTCTCTTTGGTCCAAATATTCTCCTCAACACCCTGTTCTCAAACACCCTCAGTCTGTGTTCCTCCCTTAATGTCAGAGACCAAGTTTTGCACCCAAATGGAACTACAGGCAAAATGATAATTTTGTATATTCAAATTTTTTATGTTTTTAGATAGACGAGAAGACAAAAGGTTCTGGACTGAATGGTAGAAAGCATTACCTGAATTCAGTCTTCTCCTAATTTCCCCCTATATCAGGTTTTGATTTGTTATAGTCATTCCCAAATATCTGTACTCAGGATACTTGGAGGATTGTCCTCATATTGGAACCTTTACCTACCGGTTGAAAGGATTTGACTCTCCACCAACTGATCATTATGCACGGACTTATTACATTGCTTCTACCCAAGAATACAGCCATCACAAGAAATACTGCATGGGTTCTATACCTCGTCATAAGGTAAGGTGAATATTAATTGTTCTCAGCCCAGAGTTATGTGCACCTGAAATCTGGAGTTATGATAGCTTTTATGCCCAACCACTGTATCAGCAGTCTTCTGGTTATGTAAGATATCCCTGTAACAAGCTGTTAAGGCCTATAGGGGTTGTGAGATGTCAAGGATCCCACATCTTTTAGACCGTCTGCTCACAAATGGCACTAAAGTTGTCAGCCTTATGCACCACCTGCTCTTTACTCTGCAGGAAGATTCCTGGTAATCATTTCTGTTAGAGGCTGAGTTGACTCCAGAGCCATAATGCTACTGGAATGATTATGTTAATTGAAAAAATTCAATGACCTCATCAGGAATTGAACCCATGACCTTCCAGCTTGTAACATAGTGTCTCAACCAACTACACTACCACATGCCCCTGCTGGTTTTGTACAAAATGTAATTAGATTACTGTTTGTTTAATATTTTCCTGCAAAGGTATCAAAAGAGGCACTGGGATGGTCACATGTGGGGAATGTGGCAAAGAGTGCAAAGAGTGGTGGGTCCAGTTTGAAGGTTTGACTGTATTTTACCTTTCACATGGAATAAGGAGAATTACAATAGAAACCAATAAGGACATCCTGTGGCCTAACCAATTCTGAACTCATTACCTCTGATATATAATGTGACAGTGCCTAAAATTCATAGATCTTGTAACATGGGGACTGGGGACTGCTGGAATATCCCAGAGTTGCTAGGCAACAGAAACACAAATCCCCCACCAGCTACAGGAATTGAGGCACTGATTAGGTCATCATTGGATGGATGTAAGATTTGAGGCTTTCACGGCGGTGACTATGAAGAAAGTAGTCTTCTGGGATTTGGCACCGTGTATATGTGGTGTTAACCGACGNTTGACCGTGTCTCACGGTGTTGTCGCTTGCAGATTTACTTATACTTCTTCAACCCTGAAGATGGGGGCGATACGTTCCTCCGAAACGTCGGTTAACACCACATATACACGGTGCCAAATCCCAGAAGACTGCTTTCTTCATTGGATGGATGGTCCACAACAGTGCAATGTGAAGAAACATTCCATTGTTCTCATTGCCTGAACTTACTTCTAGTTACCAAAATACTTCACTGCAACAAGGGACTGAGTTCATGATGACAGACTGTAAGTCTGCAACAGGGAGCCTGTGACAGTGGAGTGCGAAGGAACCAAACGTGAATGGGCTAATGGTGCTTTTGAAACCCAGTGTAATCTGTTGTAATCATGAGTACATAAATGAAACTAGTCCCAAATAAATCCATTTTGAAGCCAAAACGATAGTTGAGGTTGTTCTAGCTGAGCACATTTGCTTGGTGCATTGTAATACTGAAGATAAATTGTTTATTCAATTGCTTCTACACCATTTCCATTATATTTGCAATACTTATGTGTGCATATGCTGGTAGAGAAAAAAATTAGATTAAAAGTGTCTGTTTAAAATCCTGCTCTTTGACATGCAGAAGTTAAATGTGTTGGATTTTTAGTTTTACAACTTGTAAATTTATTGACTGAAAATTAATTTAAAAACTATAATAATTATGGTTTATTTAGTGATGCTGTCAGTAGCTCAGGCTGTAGAGTGATTGGATGATTAGGAAATAATGGTTTGGAAAGAAGATGGAAGTAAGGGGCCATAACCTAATTTGACCATTTTCTGAAGGGATTGAAGAAAACAGAAAACCTCAGTCAGAACAGCCAGTGTCCTGGGCGAGATATGAACCATGCATGTCACAAGCATTAGTGTATAAACCAACTTGCTGGGTCCCAGGCATGTCATTAACATTTACTAATGGCTGAAAATAAAAGATAAGTTGGATTAGATCTATTTTAGTTTCATCACTTGAAACTTAAGCTATAAACAACCTTTATGATTTGTCTGAATTTTTGTTCCTAACTTTGTGATTCATTCTAGGTTTGTTCATCATATATGAAACTGCTATATCAAAGGACTTTGGAAATGAGGAAATGGAGTGTTTCATCCAAGTTAATGTATTATGTTTTTTCAAGGTTGTGATGAACCATGTCCAGGATTTCTTCAAAGTCTATCGTGAAAAGCCTAAGTTCATGTTCAGTTTTCATACTGAACTCTCTCATGATTCACATAATCTAATTGGTGCTGTTGATATGGATATGCTGGAATGGCTTCAGGCAATGACTGAAGAGGGCCACCTTAATAACACGTTATTAATTATAATGAGTGATCATGGCCCACGGTAAGGAACTTACGAATTTTTCCATGTAATAGTGTTACATTGTGTAGAGGAGCTTTTCTCACCCCATACTATAATGTGGACCAATTAAATATCCAAACTTTTCTGTGCACTGTTTTATATATATACTAAATTATAAAATGTGGTGTTTGTGCTACATACACACAGAGAAAGCACGTGAGGGAAGGCGTTGACCATATATAGAAGGGCTATTTGGAAAGTAACCACCATTTATTTCAGGGACCTAATGTAGGATTGGGGGAGAGCTCTCGCATGTGAAGTAGCATCACATGACTCATTGCCTTGTAAACCATCATGTAACTGTCAACCAGTGTTTGTTGTTATCTATACAATGGTGTAGAATGTTTAAGGATGGGCAGGCGAACAAATGTTCATGATAAAGAGCAAAGTGGCTGGCCATCTGTAGTGAGTGATGATCTTGTAGAAAGTGTTGACCCAAAATATGTGAAAGATGGTTCTTCACAATATCAGAACTTTCATGTGAATTTCTACAAATTTTATACACTGAAGAAAGCAGTATTCTGGGATTTGGCACCGTGTATATGTGGTGTTAACCGACGTTTCGGAGGAACGTATCGCCCCCATCTTCAGGGTAGAAGAAAAAGTATAAGAAATCTGCAAGCGACAACACCGTGAGAAACGGTAAAGCAGAAACACCACATATACACGGTGCCAAATCCCAGAAGACTGCTTTCTTCATAGTCACCGCCGTGAAAGCCTCAAATCTTACAATTTTATACACTGTTCTCTACAGGATTATCACAGTTATGCTTTGTAACAGTTCACAAGAAGGGTGATAGAACTGACTGTAGTAATTATTGTGGGATATCCAATATTCTTCTCTCAAGGTTAAGTCCATACATAGGTGAAATTATTGGGAATTATTGGTGTGGGTTTCGACATGACAGATGAACTATTAATCAGATTTTCTGCATTCATCAGATACTAGAGAAAAAATTGAAGTACAATGAGGCAATACATCTATTCATAGACTTCGAGAAAGACTGGTATTGTACAATATTCTGATAGAGTTTGGGGTACCCATGAAACTAGTTAGGCTGATTAAAATGTGTTTAAACAAAATGTATGGTAAAGTCCATATAGATAAACATTTGTCTCATAATTTCTCTACCCAGAATGGTCTAAAACAAGGAGGTGCTTTATTGCCACTCCTTTTCAACTTTGCCTTAGAATATGCAATTAGGAAGGTCCAGGGAAACCAGGTAGGACTGAAATTAAATGGGACACATCAGCTGTTGGTCTGTTCTGATGATGCAAATGTACTGGGTGATAATATATATATCATAAAGAAAAACACACCAACTTTAATTGACATTAGTAAGGAGGTTGGTCTAGAAGTAAACCCAGAGAAAAATAAGCACATGTTTCTCTCTTGTCATCAGAATGCAGGGAAAAATCGTGACATAAAGATAACTAACAGATCTTTGAAAATGTGCAGAGTTCATGTATTTGGAAATGACTGTAACAAATCAAAACCTGATTGAGGAGGAAATTAAGAGGAGATTGAACTTGGGTAATGCTTGCTACCATTCAGTCCAGAACTTTTTGTGTTCTCATCTGCTGTCTAAAAACAAAAAATTATAATCTACAAAACTATCATTTTGCCTGTTTGCTCTGAAATTAAGGGAGGAACATAGACTGAGAGTGTAAGATTTGAGGTTTTCACGGCAGTGACTATGAAGAAAGCTGTCTTCTGGGATGTGGCACCGTGTAGAAATTGTGTTAACCGACGTTTCGGAGGAACTTATCTCCTCCATCTTCAGGGTAGAAGATAAGAAGAAATCCGTGAATGAACCAGCAGAGCAGGTGCAACAGACTGCGTCCAGTCGAGTAAACACAGCTGTATAAGAGGACTGTGGCTACATGGGGAAACAGTAGGGAGGGGGAGGGGGAGTTACTGGTGGAATAGCCAGCAGGTAGTGGGCCAGAGCTGGTACAGAGTATGTGTTAGGGGGAGAGAAGGGAAGGTTAAATGGAGGGCATTAACCCTGTAGCTCAGGGGCTGTGATGGACCTGAGTGGCCTTGTGGATATATCGTCATATTTCGGAGGTTTCTTGAGGGAGCAGATGAGAGGCTGCCATGACTTGCTGAGACAAAACCCCACCTCTCTGTTCGTATTGTCGGGATGGAGTTCAATCTCAGTGGCCTCCCTAATGATGTGATCCATATAATGGGTCTTGGTAGCGAGTATTCTGAAGCTGAATGCGCTGTCCCAAATTGATGCTGTGTTCAGCCACAGCTGATTTGTCTGGATGTTCGAGACAGATGTGCTGCTGATGCTCCTTCAACCTCATGTCCACAGAACGGCCTGTCTGCCCAATATAGACCTTGCCACACTAGCATAGGATACTATATACACCCGGTGTCCTTAGTCCTAGGCTATCTTTGACTGGCCGGAGGAAACTAGATAATTTCTTTGGAGGCAGGCCCACTGATTTGATGTTGTACTAAGACAGCACTCTGCTAATACGGTTGAATATAGTCCCGACATAAGGGAGGAAGGCGACTGAGTCCAGTTTTTCTTCGGGCCGACTCATGTACAGCCAATGGTTGAGAACTCTGTGGATCTGATGGTTGTTGTATCTGTTCTGCCTGAAAACATCCCCCAGGAGTACCATCTCTGTATGTAGGTTGTCTTGATTGCATAGAGCTCTAGTCCTGTCCACCAATGCGGATAGTACAGCTTGCTTCTTGGAAGGGTGGTGGTGGGATGCAGCGTTAAGGTAGAGGTTTGTATGTGTGGATTTGCGGTACACTATGGCCCAGCGAACCATTGGGTCTCCTGTAAATATCTATATCCAGGAAGAGGAGGTGGCCCTCAATTTCAGTCTCCATTGTGAACTGTATGCACTGGTGGATACTATTTAGGTGTTTCAGGAAGTCCTTAAGCTTGTCGGGCCCATGTGGCCAGATGACGAAGGTGTTGTCCACGTGGCAAAACCAGCCCTACACAAGTCCCGCTGCTGGTTTCGCTACGTGGACGACACCTTGAGTAGCTGCAGAATTGGCGGCTCCTCCAGAAGGGCCCAGCTCCATGAGTAATTAAGTAAGTAAATGATCTTTTTTCACATTGCTTGTTTTATTAGCAGCCTACTGGAGGTTACTTTCCAAATATAAATTGTAGAATCATCTTTTCTTTACAGTTTTAAAAAAGACAAGACCCTTGGTAGTAAAAGTTTTTCAGACTAGTGTACAACTCCATGCATTCTGCTGAAAGTCAACTGACATTGTGGAGGAACATGTTGCCTCCATCTTCAGGGTTGAAAAATAAGCCAAACAAGAAACCAGCATGAAACAGGCAGCAGGCAAGGGAGACAGCATATTTCTCTGAAATGTCAGTTGTCTTTTAACAGAACACATGATGTTATATCCCAGGAGACAGAACACTTGAAATACCGGTTGGTTTGACAAACTTGTTAGACCGGAGAAAAATGGCTAAACTGCAATGATTGCAGATTCCAAGTTAAATGAATGGATGTGATCTGAATGGTATAAAACATGCCTTAGGCATAAATAGGAGGAGAGTATTAAAATGAGATCTTAAAGAAACTACAACAGTTTGAGAGTAAAAAATAAAGGTATCCCTGTACCAGGCTGTGAAGGCCCATAGGGTTGTGAGACGTTGAGGGTCCCACACTATCCAGACAATCGGCTCAAAGATGGCGGTAAGGTTGTCAGCCTTATGCGCTGGCCGCGCTTTACTCCCCAGGAAAATTATTTAAATAATTCCTGGTACTCATTTCTGTTAGAGGCTGAGTGAACCCCAGGGCCATAGTGCAGCTGGAAGGGTTAGGTCAATTGGAAAAAAAAATCCAATGACGTCATTGGGACTTGAACCCATGACCTTCTGGCTTGTAATATAGCCCTGCAACCAACTACGCTACCGCATGCCCCCAGTTTGAGAGTATAGACTGGATTTATGTGGTGCAGAATAGTATCTAGTGATAAGTCTTTTTGAACATGATAATGAACCTATGAGTTCTATCAAAGCTATGGAATGTCTTGACTAACCAGTTGACTGTTAGCGTTTCAAGAAGGACTGAAGATAGTTTGAGCGTGTGAAGGATACCAGAGAGGCATGGAACGCATACAGATTGGAATGTACAAAGTTAATCCACTGGACAATTTGCATTTTTTACTGTGTATATGTGGGCTGCTTGAAAGTGGAGTGGATTCATAACTGAAAGTGAGGCAGAATATAATTTTCCTTTGTAATCACAACACCACTTCAAGTGACAAATTTAATAAAATATATGATCCTCTTACAGCTTTGCAGATATTCGTAACACACAACAAGGCAAGCAAGAGGAGCGTTTGCCAATGTTTGGATTTGTGTTCCCACCATGGTTCCAACGCGCTTACCCCCATGCAATCGTTAACATCAGGCGCAACAGCCAGCGTCTTACTACGCCATTTGACATATACCCTACACTCAAAAATGTACTGCATTACCAAGGTGCAGGAAAGGGAAATATTAAGGACAGAGGCATAAGCCTTTTCAAGCAGGTACTTGTTATTTATTCACATAATTTGTACTCCTACATAATTTTAGACAAGAAATTGTGGAGAAAATTAAGTACCATGTTTTTATGCCCAACTTTGAAACATATATATATTTTGTTAAATATTTATGATTATGAGAATGTTCCTCCAGCATCAGTTGTCTTGTTCTCTATTTGACTTTTGGGGACAGTCCTTTCGAAAGTGGCCAGTGATCCCACAGTGCCAACACCCATGTTGTCTTTTGCCTCTTCATGCAGTTTAAGGGGACCGGCTGTTCCAGGATGTCTTGGTGCTCTTCTTCCTGAGTCTGGTGGGTCTGGCCTGGCTGCTAGGGTTATGGTCTCCAGCTCGAGGGCCTGCCGAAGTGCTTTGTTGACCATTCTCTTACCTCCCAGAAGTAGATGCTATTTTGTGAGTGGGTCTCTTATCTTGTTGATGAATGCCTTATCTTCTTCCCTGCGATCCTGCTCCTTGGGTAGGTGGGATAGGGCCAAGGGGCCAACTGCTTGACGGTGGTGAACTCTTGTAGGGACTCACCAATGATTTTGGTCCTTGTTTTCAGCTGAATGTGGTATGCTGTGGCCAGGTGTGGTTCCCTGGAGCAGACCTCAAGGGTCTCAGTTATCTCTTCATACATAGCTTCTTTATGTACTCCATGTAGAACACCAGAAGCTCAGCCCTGCAGGGCAGCAAGCAAATGCATGTTTTTACACAGGGTGCCCATTTTTAGTGCTGTGCCATGGCCTTGAACTGGTGGCGGAACACAACCCAGGATGCTGATCCATTAAACTTCAGGGTCTCTGCTGGTGTCAGTTCGTGTACTGGTGCCACGTGCATTCCCTACTTTGGCTTCAAACTCAGCTAGCTTGATCTGGTCTTCTTTGTGTATGTCGATTCAGGCATCTAGGATCTTGAGCTGGAACTTGATTGCTTAGCTCTTTCTTTGCATCTGCCATCTTCATGGAACCCTTGGTCTGAGTATCAAGAGATGTCTTTACTAACTAAACACAGCTCTGTTTCTTCAGTCCTTCAGCTGAGTTTCATGGAGGTCCCAGGTCCATGCATTGAAGGATGTCGTTGCCACTTGTAATCCCAGCTGCAGATCTTCAGTCTTCGCATTAAGTTCTTCACAGAGGCCCTGTGTCCAATTATTGACAACCGCCAGTACAGTCTCCAGCTGGTATTTAATTGTCTCATCTAGCTCACACTGGGTGGAATTTATCACAGCTCCATCTTCTCCTGGATGGCACTTAATGTGGCTTTCATCACTTGGCTGACTGCTATCATCGCCTTCATCTCTGCTTTGCTGGCTTCATGTTCCTTTCTGTGATAGCTACCAGACATTCAAACTCCAACATGATTATCATCATGTGAGTGCGAATCTGACAGTGCACAATTCACTAAGTTCAACAATTCAGTCCTATCCCACTTGTGTCTCCAGTTGTCACACATGACTAGACATGGGGTTTAGATAGGTAACTGGGTTTATTGGACACTTATGAATCATAACTAGAACTAATTATAATGCTGTCACTAATTTGCACACTCTGTTTCTCACTACAGTACATGCTAAGTCTGCTGTGACTTCAGTACTTGTTGCCTGGTAATGGATCACAACAGTGTCCTCCGCTTACATCCTTACTGACTGATGACTGTGTCACAACTAACTAACTAAACTGAAAACTCTCAAATAACTGGTGATTGGTCTGTCGGTTGGTTAAATTGCTGCTGGCCCTCACTGGTACAATCATTCCTGGCTTCAGGTCTTCTCAAGATCTATGGCCATGATTTTTGTTCTTTTGTAGACATGTACATGTGTAGAAGTAGGGCATTGTCTTCAACAAGGGAAGGGCTCAGTTTTTCTGTGTAGGTGCTATGTTTGTTACACCATATTTTTAGCACCGGTATATCTGTGCTGTCAGCATCCAGGTCACTGTGGGATCTGCGCACCTTTTATCACTGCACTATGCTCAGTAACATCTATGAAAATATACAGAGGATTTCTGTCAATACAGGCTTATGCTACATGTTATGCCTTAACTTGTTTAACTACTCTAAAACTGCATTTGGTCAGCTGATTGATCATAGGCCTGACCACTCCCAAGTTTAAGCTTCTTATATTTCCTATGCAGGGCTTTTCCTTGTCCAGCACCATATACATTTGGATTTACATGGTTTAGGATTACTTTGCCCCTGTCCTGCTTAAAATAGTTATGTAGTCATACACATATGAATTTTGAAAGCCGCATGCAATTCATGGACCAGTGTGCACTTGACAAGATTTTCAATAGGGTACTGTGTTCTACATTTTCAAGGGGTGAGCGTCTGCCACAGACTCCCAGGTGAGACAGGCGTAAGCCATAACTGACCTAACCAGAACTTTCTAAAGTGTAAATTTAATATTTGTAATTAAACATTCATTTTTGAATAGGGTATAATTCCTTATGTACGTGTACAAGGCCTTGGCTACAGTGCTTTTGATATGAAGTCTCCATGTCATCCTCATATTGAAGGTGACACCAAGATATGTTACATTATTTGCAAAGGGGATGTCCCATTTAGCTGTATGTCCTCAGGGACTCTTAAGGCTTCTGGAGATGTCACAAGGTTGGAATTTAACGGGGGTGCCTTCATCGACAGTAGCCAGCAAGGCTTGAACTGTAGCCTTAACCTGTTGCCTGTGGTTGCAGTCACACAAGTTATGTGCTGTGAATTGCTTCTCTAAGCAGTCTGCAGTTGCATTGGGTTTATTGACTGGATAAAGTAAATGGCCGAAGGCACCATGAATTTTGCATGGTGCCTTTGGTCCACCCCTCTTTGAGAGGGATTTCACAATGGACCATACTGCTTGAAATGTGACTTCACAGGTTGCCAACTTTGTTTCCCATTGTTCAAGTAGTCTGTTCCAGACCATTCTCCTAATATTTTAACTGACCGAAATTGCTGCCATTCTACATGCTGTATTGCTGGTTCCTTACCATAATTTTCTGTGCTTTCTTCTATGCTTCAATAATGATCTAGCGCAAATGTTTCATATTTCTGGTTAAAACTGTAGTTTTCTAGTTAATAGCCCATATGCCAAAGTCATAGAGGCTGAAAAGTCACTTGCTGCTTTATCAGCTTCATGAGAAAAATGAATTTGGATACTTAGAGATTTTAGTTCAGAGGCAAGGCTTTGAAACAGCTCCCAGTCTGTCAGTTTTTCATCTGAGTCTGAAGTTTCCCTCATTGTAACAGGGTCCAGAATGTTAAACATTGTTAATTCTGAAGAAAGCAGTCTTCTGGGATTTGGCACTGTGTATATGTGGTGTTAACCATTGCCGAATCCCAGAAGACTGCTTTCTTCATAGTCACTGCCGTGAAAGCCTCAAATCTTACAGTGTTAATTCTGGTAAGTGATCTGAGTGCAGCATGTCAGTGACCTCTGACAACTGGACTTTCTGATGTACCACAATGTCAAGAACATCACCTGTCCCATCAGGTGTGTAATGTGCAGGGCATTGTGGAATTAAGATTTCGAAGTTAGAACTAACACATAATTCCAAGAACCTGAAGCCTAGATTTTGAAATTATACTGTCTCAGACAGGGTACTTTGCATTCAGGTCACCTTCCAGGATAGACTAATTTCTAAAACCTAATAGCCCTGTGATGGCTGTGTCACTCCAGGTTTTGGGGAGTTTTATAAACAGCTGTAAGAAAAATTCCATTGTGTCCAGTATGCAGATCCCTGTTGCTTCTACTAAAAGGAGAGGAGTTAAGTCTGCGCATCTGTATGGATGCTTAAACTGCATCGCCAGTCCTGCCTTTGTGCCCATCTTGATGGGCAATCTGATAAATATCATACTTTTGAATCTTAAAATCTAAAATGAGGTTTCAGATCTGTCCCTAAGGAGAGAGTCATATCTGTTTTTAAGTACAGCAACCGTTTGCTAACCTCATACACCTGTCTTATAGTGCTGTTATCATTGAATGCTATGATTTTCAGAGGTCTGTGAACTGTTGTCTGTATTATTCTTCAGTAGTCTGAACACTGATTATTTGTATGTAACATCATATTATATTAAGCACTTAAGTGATGATGGCCACCTCTTCTTCTTCTTCTTCTGTTGCGGCACCTGAGAGCTGTATCATAATCTGTTTCACCATAGTGAAGACAAGGAACATGTCCATTGTGTTACTTTTTACATTTTTAGTCTGCATTGACTGACTTGAGATTTGACTGGTGTTCTGTTGCATATTTTTTCCTGAAGACTCATGCTGATCGCTGCTGATCAGAGCTGCAGAGAGCAGCAGATAATGATCAGTTTGATGTTGTGTAATTTGAGAAGAATACTCTCCCTGCTTACCCTGGTTTAATCGACTGCAGGTTCCTTCGACATTGTAATTCCTGTTTTGCGTGATTGCAGCCTCTGTGATGTGCTGGGTGTGGTGATTGCCTGTCTTGTTGGTCGTGACTGCTGCAGCTTGGAATACTCTCTGAGTTCTGTTTCCTTGGGCACTCACAATGGCAATGACCACCCCCACATCACAGGCAGCGAGAAGGTTGCGGCACACATATGTGGCCAAAATGCTGACAGTTGTCGCACTGTCAGCCCATTTTGGGATCTGTACTATTCATCCTGGTCCTCATTATATGGCCTCAGGTTTGTCCACACAAAAACCGCATGGACCGCATTGAAAACACTGTATCATATTCATTGTCTACCAGCCATTGCATAGCAACGGCTCCTTGTTGAATGACATCATAGCGTGTTTACTCAGTGCCTAGCCGGGTTTCGTTTCATGTCTCTTATTAAGCTGTTCAATCATGCCACAATGCTACTGATATTTGACTTATCTAAAATCTAAAACATTTTTATTTTTGTATGTGATATAATTATTGTTTCAGGTTCCATTGGAAAGAACGTGTGCAGATGCATATGTTGAGCCACATTGGTGTGCTTGCCTTGACTGGCAGGAAATTAATCTACAGGATAGATTTGTGGTCAGAGCTGCAGAGGCATTTGTAGATTTTATTAACAAGTAAGTATATTGAGAATAAAAATGTGACAGTGAAATAAGTAGTAAATTTTAACATTTTATTTTTTATTTATTGTATCTTTTATAAAACATGCATCATATACATTAGTTTAACCTAAATGCTGAATGTGATGGAAATGTTGAATTTAAAATTATTTCTTAAAATGTGAAGGTTTTTTATTGTCCTCTGTTGTAACCGTAAAAGCTTTCACATAATGGTATCTGGTTATGCCTGTATGATTTTGTGTATTTAGTAATGAGAGTAGTTGTCTGAAAGGATAGCAAATGCAGCCTGATGATGGCTGGACATGTTGCCAAAACATGTATCCATATAATATAAATTTGCACATATTGCATGTGGGGCATGTGGTAGCATACTTGGTTGAAGCACAGTACTGCAAGCCAGAAGGTTGGGGGTTCAATTCCTGATGAGCTAACTGGATTCTTCAATTGACCTAGTCCTTCCAGTCACACTATGGCCCTTGGGTCCACTCAGCCTATAACAGAAATGAGTACCAAGAATCTTCCTGGGGGTAAAGGGCAGTCAGCCAGCATGTAAGGCTGACAACTTCACTGCCATCTGTGAGTTGGCTGTCTGGAAACTGGGAGCTTTGACGTCTCACAGCACCATGGGCCTCCATGGCCTGTTACAAGGATAGCTTTACTTTTTTACATACTGTCGTATAACTCAAAGTTTATTTGTAACATTGATTGTTTTGTGGTGATGATATAGTAAATGTACCTTCAGACTAAAAATTGATTTTTATTGAATTTTGTGTGAACTGGTTTAATCAGTCTTTCTTCATTTTCATCCAGCAACATCTGACATGCACAAACTCATTTTTTCCACATTGGGCAATTTTTCTTGTCTTTGTTTGAAAGGTTGACAGAATCATACCGTGATATTTGTGCTGAGCTACATCTGGAACGCATTCAGTGGGCAGCAAAGTTGGTGCCCAATGAAGGGCTTCTCAGGTTTCACAAGAATGCTGATATTGATGGCTTTGTGGCTGATTTGTCAGCACATACAGTAGTGACACAAGAAATGTATCAGTTGAAGGTCTCCACAATGCCAGGTGGTGGCTTGTTCGAAGCTTCAATGATGTATGATGTAACAGATGGCAGCTTTACCGTCAGAGTAAGACAAGCTTCATTTTTACTAATCATTTTTTATTGTATTCTTTGTTTTAAAAAAAATATTACATTTTTGCATGATCAGCGGTGATGATTTCAGACGAATGAATATAAAGGCTTGTTGTCCCAGTATTATAATTTTGATAAATTTATTTTGCATTTCTTTAAGAGACCATACTAATAAGGCCCATAGAGCACAATCCTTCAGAAATTAATAGTCACTTAGCTGGTCAAGATAATCCCTATCCTTTATGAACCCTGAAAGTTAATTGCTGTGTTCACAATACCTGCCACTGACTCCATTCCTGGGCTGGTCAAATCCAGTCCAAACTCTTGTGTCTTTGAGCCACTTTAATATTATCCTCCAGTCTGTTCCTAGGTCTCTCAATTGTTATTTTTCCTTCAGATTTTTTGGCAATGCATTTCCCATTCCCTGTTCCATTTGTGATACGTGTCACACCCATCTTATCTTTGATGTTAAGTTACTTCAAGATCTTGTATTAACAGTATGTAAGATATTTGAAAGGCTTCTGATCCAGATGTGTGAGTTGTCATTCTCTCACATATGTCACATTATTGTCTGTGAAACATCACACATGGTCTTAATGTGGGCACCCCGGAACACATTTTGATGGGACCACTCAAGAGCAGTACTACCAGATATTCTGGTCTGGTCATAATGATTCATCTCTATGTTCTTGCTTGTACATAATATACTGCATAGGAATTCAGAGTAGGCCGCCATATAATTGTTTTTTTTTCTCAGTTCCCTAATTAACACTGATGAAATTTGGGTTGTGTTTTAACTTCCAGATCTCGGATGTGAGCCGGATCAACCGTTATGGGTCAGCTGCACATTGTGTAGAGCACTCACAACATCACTTACGTCCATACTGCTTTTGCAAAGCACCTCCACCACAACCACCAAAAGAATAGGGGAACCTGTAACTTGTGATAAAGAATGTGCAACTAGTGAATGTATTTATGGAAGCAATGAATGAGAAAACAGATGAGATTATTAAAAATGGTCACAATTGGCTGTGATAATGGACAGCACAGAGGAATCTATTTGTGTTGTTCTAATATGGTTCTCATTTTTGAATGACAGATATAGGGGTTAGATTAGATCTCTTTTTTTTTATTGTGGTTTGACTCATCTCTATTATGTACTTCCCTGTATTGGAAAAGGCTGATGTTTGTTCCTTTATTATTTAACTGATAAGTAATGGTGTAAGAACATAGTTCAAAGAGTTCTGTTTAAGGTACTAAATGTAATTGGTGTGTGCAGTTGACGTGCTACTCTAGCATATTTGATCTCATCATACCTTTCTGCTTGTTGATTTCCCTCCCAGAGGTGATGAAAGACTGATTAATCATATTAGGAAAGTAACTCAAATAAATGCCAAAATGTCACATTCTTTAAGATTGTTTCAACACCACAATCATTAGAGTGGTGTCAGCTAACGCGCAGTCTTTCTTGAGAAGCTGACAGTCGTTGTACTCATTAAGAAATTTTATTCTTTTTATTGAACATGAAGGTTCATTACCATGTTCACAGGAGCTCAACATTAGACACCATCCTGAGACAGATGAATTCAGTCCAGACTTACTGTCTGTTTATTTAAGATCCATTTTAATAGTAGGCCTCCATCTATGTGTAGGCCCCTCAAGTGATTTCTGTTGCATTCATGCAATATGCTCCACTTGTCTCTTCTCAATTTCATCACCCTAGTAATATTCAGTGAAGAGTACAAATTACAAGGTTCCTCATTCTGCAGTGTTTTTCCATATTCCTGTTCCATAATGTGTAATGTTTCCCTAATACATTCATTGCCAAACAGTCTTGTATGTAAGCCATGCAACCATCTAAATGAAAGGTGAAACAATAATTTAAATTGGGAAAACTGACACATGTATCAGATGTGTAAATAATTATCATATTTTAATTCCTCAAAGTGTGTACTATGACGTGCAAAGTATTTATGGTGATTGTTTGATATTTGTCCAAAGAAGGGCAAAATAGTTGTACTTTGAAAAATGAGTCATCTTTCCACTGGGAAAATGCACTCACTTGAATGGTAATTGGCTCTGCTGGCAGCAAATGCGAAGTTTAGTGTTTGAATTTCTCTTAACTCTGATAGTATGCGCTGTGGTGAAATGTAACACATCACATTTTTATGTACAGCAAAGCTTCCTCCAATGCAGATTCAATTCTACGTGTAAGAATAAATATGAACATTTATTTTCCCATTGTGGAAAATTTGATTATACACAATCTGCCGAATGCCACAATAGTATACAAATGGAAATCTACACTTTTGGAAGCTAAAGATGGTTTAGCTGTTGCATATGTTTTTGCATAACCAAGCTTGTTTATTTTGAGTTCCAGCTTCTAGAATACAACACTGTGTAATCCCTTGAAAGCAAGCTGCCTGCTTCTTTCTGGTTTCCTGCTTGACTTAATCTTCAGCCCTGAAGATTGGGGAGATGTTTTCCTTTGAAATGTCAGTTGACTTTCAACAAGCTACATGGCATTACATCCCAATATATAGAAGGCCTCATAACCACTACTGTGAGAATCTCAAATTGTACTTCACATGGATGAAGGTTTACTGTATATGAAACTGTGTCCCTTTGATTGTCTGAGATGTCGCAAATATCTATAATGTATATGTTAAAAAAATAACTCATTGCTTTACAAGTCACAGCTTATATCTTGTAATACATCTGTGTTTTTAAAATCTAGTCGGTATGATTTTAATATTTTGGAAGTATTGTTGTTTAATGAATTGTTCTTGTTGATAAATTATTTATGGGTTATTGCTTTTTGTGCACATATTTACTTTTCTGTGAGTCATATTATTTACAAGTTTATTTCATACTAGCTTGAAATCCATTGAAATTTCAATAGGAAATTGTTGTGATTATTAACATCATTCCTGGTCACATTGCATTTATTGTACTTTTATGTATTATGTCCTTGAGGGACACCTTTAAATTATGATTTGGCTGAATCTGCATGCAACGAACTTCAGAAGTTCCAGAAAGACTGCTATATTCATACAAAAACACTAAATATGATAAAATAACAATGTGCACAAAAATGGTGTTGCTCTCTGTACATATAGTATGAACTTTTACTGGTAGAGATGGATGCTGCAATATGGACTCAAGTATACCTTCCATTAAAATTGTTTTAATAAATCTCTTTACAGCAATTAATGATGAATGTATCATTACTTACTTATTTCAAGAGTATGACATTTTTCTATCATATTGGTTTTCAGCTGGAGGTATATAATTTACAAACAGGAACACTTGTTAATGAATTACTATATTATTAAAAGATTCCTTAATGAGAATTGGATCCATTTCCTATATAAGGTTTTGAGATATATCATAAATTATTAATATATATACTGTATAGGGGAAAAATTATTATTATTACAGATTTTAAACATTAAGACTTTTACCAGACTGATATCAAAAGGTGGTAATAATAATGTTAAAATAGGTAATAGTGGCATTCTTGTAGATCAAGTTATATGTATGTTCTTCTGTATTCAATGTTTACTATTAGTGTATAAGGTTAGAGTAGTAATAATGGATTGTAAAGTGATGAGAAGAGTTAAAACAGTTGCAAGCATTAGTATTGTCATGTGTCTTGAGTTCGAATCTCGTTGATCACGTGTGTAAGTCCAAATCCCACTTCTGACACCAATGTAACGTGTTTTAGTTACTGAAGACGCCGTTCGGATTGTTAACTGGTTTATTCAACAACCTACAAGTAACGGCTACAATTACTTATCACACAGTTGTGGGGTTTCACAGTTTATAACCCTAATCGCATTAATCTGTTAACACTGTTGCGGGGTTTCACGACTTATAACCCTATGCGCAAATCAGCTCACTCTGTCTTCAGTGGTCTACACGTTTACAATGGGGGAGCTAGGTATCACTGTATCACACGCTCCCAATTACACAATTACACACACGTCCGGATCTTCTTTCCACGGCGGCTGCTATACTCCAACTGTAGTCTGCTGACTGGAGAACTGTTTATAACACACTCGCTTGTAGGCTTGCTCGGAACTAACTCGATGATGGCCACATTACAACTCTCCTCGCAGGCAGCGCAGCTCTCTTATATAGTGGCTGTGTGTGCCTGTTATGTAGCAACGCTGTTACCTCACGCCGTCTTATGTCACCGCGCGTTGCGTGTTACGTTACCGTGCGGAGGGGGGAGGGGAGCGCTGACTCATCTGCCACGTCACTGTGGCCTGAGTTGTCACGCTGCTGGGTAGGGAGGGGTTCTCTGTTGCGCAACATGTCAGTATATTCTTTTTGGTTGGTGGATATTACAAGTTGTTTGTTTTTAAATATCTCATTACTGTACTTTTTATGTATGGTTGTATTATAGGTGTGTGATAGTATAGAGATCATATGGTTATGGCTATAATGTGCTGTGGGTTTACATTTTTGTTCTTGCTGAAGTGTATGCAAGTGATGTGTGTGTTAGAGATTGTCTGACATGTCAACCAGCCACACCACTTGGATACACTTGAATAAGACAGAATATAAACCTTCCTTACATTATAAAAAATACCACTGAATCTACACACTAACACACATTTGCTAATGTACATCAGAAGTACAGTGACAAGACATTAAGAAATAAACAACTTCCACCAACAGCAAAGTATAATAATACACACAATTTTAAGTATTCTCATCATTTTACCACTTCTTATTACTGTTTTAACCTTCCATATCAGCAGTCAACCTCAAAAGACAGAAGCACATACATTTAACTTACAGGGTTCCCAGTATTACCTACTTTCACTGTTATTATTATTACTTTGACACACTAGTTTAGTAAAAGACTAGTATTTAAAATCTGTAATAACATGCTGACTTAACAGCTCAAGGCCAATTACAAAGTGAGCATGAATAAAGATACAGAAACAAACACACACAGGTGAAGCCATAATGTGACAGCGAAGAACAATTCAAGTTTCAAATAGATCAGTATACAACAACAACAACAACAACAACAACAACATAACAGTAATGACAATAATAATAAAAATAATAATAAGAAGAATGATAATAATAATAGTTTAATTAAATCAGTATAAAATATGTTTCCACAACAGAGTTTTTGGTCCAAAGACGTCTATGTCCCTACAAACAACATTAGCAGCTGAAGCGCATCTTGCAGAGGGGCAATTTTTACTAACAGAACAAGCATTGAACATAGGAAAGTCTCGGATATTTCGAACAGGGACATGAAGGCCAACCATTTCCAAAGCAGAAGGGTAAAGTATAGAACCATGATAAACTTGAATAAGGAAGAGTGCATCAAGGTGATATCTCCTCTTTTGCAAGGTGTGCAATTTAAATTGTTCTAAAGCAAAATCATGACAGTAATCAACTTGAGGAAAAGAACGTTTATAACAGAGAGCTGTATACTTCTGTTGATTGCATTCTAGTTTGTTTGCATCAGTTGATATAATGGAATTCCAAACTACTGAAGTGTATTCAACCTTGGATCTAACTAAAGTAAAATATAATATGAAGATGCATCCAAGGGTTGAATAGTAAAGGTGACACTGCAAATCATACCTAGCATCTTAATACAGTGTGAAAATGTAAAATTAACATGATTATGAAAATGAAGTTTAGAATCAAGGTGTACTCCCAGGTCTTTCACTGAATAAGTTTGAGTTATAGTGGCATGAAAAGTTTGTACTTGTTTATGAAATAGTAAGTCTTCCTGGAGAACGTTATAACTTTGGTTTTGTCAACATTGAGTTTCACATAGTTTGCTGCACACTAACCGCGTATAGAGTCAATGTCAGATTGCAGAAGATTACAATCTTCAGGAGAGCTAACAGCATGGTAAACTTTTATGTAATCTGTAAACAGTAGATACCTTGAGTGCTTAATTGAATCACACAAGTTGTTTATATAGGCATTGAAAAGCAGAGACCCAAGAACAGATCCTTGTGGAAAAGTGGCTAGTACTTCAAAGGGCGGTGAAATAGTTTCACCAATATGGACTCTGTTGGTTAGGTAACTGCATATCCAGTTTACATTACCATCAGAAAATCCAAGGACACTCAGTTTATGAAGAAGCAAGGAGTGGGGAATGAGGCCGAAAGCAGAAGTAGAGGCTAGATCAAAGTAAATGGCATCCACTTGACGCTGAGAGCCAGCTAGAGGAGTAGTANTTTAATATGAAGACAAGGCACGCAATGAACTAGTTTAGTGTAAAGTAAATAAGCACCTGAAGATGGCACCTTTGTGCCGAAACATGTAGTGCGAGTGAGAGGAGGAGATAGACGAGTGTATGCACTGGAA